CAAGACAACGCATTGAGGCAGACCATAACAGTAAATCGAACAACACTTGAAGGGCAGTTCATGTATTACTTACTTTGTGTCCGGGCATTGAGACCTTATCTAAATAGCTTTAATGTGGTTCCATTTGAATGGTAATAGAAATGAAGAAATCAGCCAAGTTTCTTTCGTTCGAGCACAACTAAACTTTTCAACATTTAGCTCTGTGTATTCTGTTGACAATGTTTGTTCACTTCAGCTCCCATTTCGTAATTGAACTTTCACATGTTCTGCCAATAACATACTTGAAACTAACATAAAAGTTTCGATGTAATTTAACACAACAAAGCTTTTGGCCTACGTAACACGAGCTCCCCCAGCAGCTATTTGGTGTTTGGGGTGTTTAACATAATATTATATGGTTAGAGAATTATAAATTCATACCCGTATCAATGGAAGTTGCATATGTCTTAAGTACTGCTTGCTGTTGAATTTCCTGTAATAATCCGCTGATGAGCAGCAGCTGGCAAACGAGAAAGCTGCGTATTACTCCCATGTTGCCAACTTGCCAGCCCACAATTTGTTTGCAGACTCCACGCTCGCTGTCTGAGTTTCAGCGTTAAATTATATTAGATTATAACGTGGCCTAAGTGCGTGTTTGAATTATTGAATTAAATTGTTGTTCTTTCTCCTCCTGTTTATGTCACACAATTATTTTTTATAATTATTTTAAATGGTTTTTTTTTGGCCGCTAAATGACTGTCAAGAGTTTACTTTTGGCCCAATTATGACGCTGAAAAGCAGGTAGCACCTTTTATTACTTTTATTATAGTTAATTGAAGCAACGTTTATGTGAAAGATCCTTTTTAAATTGACAGTTGTGGAATTTATTTAGTTGATTTGATACCTTAAATGCAAATATTTAATTATTGTATTTATAATTTATATGAACTATATTAAAGCTTGAAATATATTAGAAATATATTTGTCAGAGCTTTAATATTATAATAAGCATAGTTGTCAAATACTTAATTTTATTTTTTTTATGTTCATAACTGAATAGTTTTGAACTCAATTTTTTAAAATTGTCATTAATATGAAAAGGATTATATATTAACTCGATTACATTATGTATAGTTAATAACGCAGTCTCTATATTCATTTCATTTATTTGTTTATTGGGTTATTGGGTTTATTTGCTATAATGCATTTGCACATATGCAACTGGTAGTTTTTAAACACATTTTATTAAACATTTGCATAACTTTATTTATTTATTGCTCCTTTTGTTTGCATCAAATGAAAAGATCGCTTCATTGCATGTTTTGCTTTTAAATATATTTATGTATTTTTTGCCATTGCATAAATTATAAGTTTTAATTCAGCAACGGCTCGTTGCACGCCTTTTTATTCTGACAGGTTGTGTGTGTGTTTTTTTTATTTAATTTCATAAAATAGTAGTTATTTATATATTTCTGAGCACATAATCCGTATATTGAAATATTGCGATTGTTTTTGTTTACTTTTAATTGCCTTTGTTTTCACATCGAATTGTATTCGCCGCCATATATTGATATACTTATTTTTGTTGTTATTGTGGATAAAACTTCATTATCAAGCGTAATTGTTAAATATGAGAACTTGATGCCGCTTTATGACAATTCATAGAGTAAAGTCTGCGAACTGAGCTACAAACTGAAATACGAAACGTCAATGGCAATTGGCCAGGCTTGTGCATTTGTGTCAAGTTCATGTGCTTGTAATCAAGCCCAGAAGCAAACAACACAAATTCAAAACAAACGCCGAGAAAAAAAATAAGGCAGAAATCAAATATGGATAAAATTGATGCGCTGAGCTTGCCATTTTGTCATTTCCAACTAAGAGCAGCGGCTAAGAGAAAAAGCAAAGGAAAATCACAAAACGAGAAGCGCAGAAGCGTAAAGAGCAAACAAAGAACAACTGTGGCGAAAAGGAAAAGCAGACTCTGTAAAAGCTTCCGGTTTTTTTTTGTTCTACTTGGTTTTACTTGGCGCCAATGCGCCGCCAGGCACAACAACTACAACACAAGCACACACACACACACACATCGCAGTTAGAAATTGATATTATTTTAATTTTTTGATATTATTATTATTTTTTTTATTTTGCGGTCTTTTTTTTGCCTGCTTTATTTTACTTTTTTTTTATTTGGCCTAGTAGAAGACTTCGTCTTTTGCTGTTATTTGCCTAGTGGTTTCTAGTCCTGTTGCACACGCACACGTCCGTTTAAATTAAAAGTTCGGAGTTAACTGAGTTTTGAGCATGACGCGTCGTATCTTAAAAATACAAAATGCCAGCCAGCTAACAGCATCCAAAAGCATTTCGGGCGCATTTCGAGCTTCCGCTCAACCGTTGATAAGAGTTCTCACTCACGAGCTGCGTTCTTCTGCTCAAAGTGGAGTGATTTCTGTGCGAGTGAGTGAGTTTTCTTTTGAGCGAGAATAACTCAGTTCAGTGGAGGTTCAGGAAATGTTTAGGTTAGTTGAGCTTATCAACCGTTTGAAAAATGCACCGACGACTGTCTGTTTCTAATCAGCTGCTTTTTGTCAACACACAAAAACAAAAAAAATAATCATAATAATTAAAGTAAAGTGTTGTTATGATTGTTGTTGTCGGTATTCGTATTTGCCTGCTGCTTAATTAGCCTGAGACGCATTAAACACAATCCGTCGCATATTGATAAGGAGCCAAAGCCCGATGACCCGATGACCACCAGTGCAAACAGTACCGGGAATTCCATGGAAATATGTACGCATGATATGTGCATATCTTCCTTCAAGATTCATTGTGAAAATGTGTCAAGTTTGTAACGCTTTTTGTTTGCGACGCATTGAAATATTCAATTGCGAACTCTTAAGTCGCAATTGTTCAGTGCGAGATAAGTTGGGAATTACTCAGTTAAACTTAATATGACTTCATTTCCTTTGAAAGACCATGTATCATCTGGTAATACTTTCAACGAAATTTGAATCATTTTGAAGACTGCTGTTGATCATCAACTATGTAACACATTTCTTATTGCTTATGTATTTGCGTGTTTATACACAAGCATCTTAAATATTGAAAAATAGTATAATTTTTTCTAATTTCGGATCAGTTCTAAAGTAATAGAAATGTTATTGACATATAACTTATAGCCCGATTCCACTACGCTAAACATTTTTTGGATTCCAATTATAAAAGCTGATTATCTTTAATCCAATAAAAAATAAATACATTTAAACATTAAAATCGATTTAATTTCTATTTAAATAAGAGCACATAAAAATTGTGCGCAAAATAAATCGCGTGTAGGTGTTTAACCATTGTAACCAAGAGTCGGCGATCCGATTTACAAAATAATATATATATAATATTGAATCTCGCTTTAAATAGCAACGAGTTAAGTAATTTTTGCTTAAGTGTTTGCACAGCTAACCTTAACTTGAGGTACTTCATTGTTATTGTTTTGATGCATTTGTATTTTAAGGGCCTTAAGAAAAACAACTCACAATCGCTATTCTAAGCGTAACACTTACTTAGTATGAGCGTTTTTATTATAATTCCCGTGTTTAGCTGCACTCAAATAAAACGAGCTTTTGCTTGTTGTTCTTTTAAGAAAAAAAGTGTGTCTGCGCTTTAAGCATGATGCAATGGTTCAGTTAGATTGCACTTGACTTGTATTAAACACTCGTCAAATTAAACTCAACTCGTGTTTAGCTGTTCTTTTGCTGAGCGCTTTTTGATCTGGCTTAGTGCAACACGAGGCTCAAGGTTTTTGTTTGTGCTGCAACCACATATCAATTTGTTGAACCTGGCTAACAGTTGATTTTAAAGTGAGTGGCATTGGCTTTTAACGTAAATACACAAAAATGACATAGGTAAACAATATATATATGTCACATATCAAATACAACATTAATACAAATTGCATGTTTCTTTTTTGTTTACATTTTGTAAAAAATGTTTTAAGTTCTTTGTACAACAACTGTAAGAGTTGTTCAACTTTATCGAGGCGTGACTAACTTATTTGCCCGCACTGTGCAACTATTTAAAGTGTTGGCCCTAAAAGTAGGCAATACCAAATTTCAAAAGTTTTGCCAACCAAGCACAAATAAGCTGCCATCTAAGTTGCTACAAATTAAATGCATGGGGCTAATAAACTATACCCAGACATACGCGCACACACACACACACACACACACACACACACACACATTGAAATCCGTAGTAGGCAACTAAAAATTAAATGAAAACAAATTCGGTCGGGGCAGCTGAGGGCACCCTAACATGACACTAAATAAACAGCCGGTTGTTACTTACTCAACAACGAAGCCAAACAAATAGCTAAACACCAAAAACCAATACAAACGCAAACACACAACAGCACAACAGCACACTCAAACACAGATACACCCACATACAAACACCAAAGCACAATAAACAGGATACATGCCTGCAACTAAGTAAATGGTTAGCTCTGTGACATTTTCCAAATTGAAAAACTACAAAATGAATGACAGCAGTTTAGAACGGGAAGAATATAGTTGGGGAATGAAGGGGCAGAGCATTGGGGGGATCATTGCTCGTAGATAACCAACAGCAGCTGTATCCTATAATTCGAGCCCAAATATTAAAAAAGAAATTACTCCAATCTTCAATATTTCAGCATAAAAGGCCTCGACAAAACATGTAAATAAAATACCAATTTTAATTTTTCTAGCAGCCAATTTCATTTTAAGAATATACAAAATTATATACTGATATCTTTATATTCAAACTCTACATAAACTATGGCACTTGTTTTTGGTTTTACATTTTAAATCAAAAAACAAAACCAATTACAATGAGTTCAACTTGAACAAAATTGGTAAGAATATTTTAAAGTTGCATTTGGCAGAAAACTTCAAGAGGTGTGAAACTTTTAGAAAAGTATTGTTGAACAATTGTTTTGTACTCAAATAAACAGCATATAAAAAATATGTATATAAAAAATCTTGACTTACCTGCAAATTTGCATTGCTCCAGTCGCTCATCACTGTGATCCTTGCAATCGGATGAGCCATCGCAGACAAATCGTATGGGAATGCATTCACCACTGTTGCAGCGAAATTGTTTCTCCTCGCAGTAATGCGGTAGGCTTTGAGCTGTTGAGAAATCAAAAACAAATTAAATAATTAATTGAGTGGAAATTTTGCGGCCAAAACTATATAATTCAAGAAGAACAACAAAAGCAACACAACAGAGGCCTAATAAAATTCATAACTAACATTTAAGTTGAAAACTTTAGCTCGTTAACAGCGAACCAAACCAAACCAAACCCAACCAAACCAAACTGATCCAAAAACCAAAGCGAACCGCACAATGGCGCATTACATTTTGGGTAAAGGGGTTTTGGTTTCCCGCTGTCGCGTTGACAGGCTTTAAGACCTTTGTAAGACCAGGGCCAAAAACTGACAATAAACAAAAGCCTGTAAATAATAAAGTGTGTGTGTGTGTGTATGTGTGTATGTGTGTGGATGAAAGGGTAAGCCGCAAAATATGTCGCTATAAATAAAAGGGCACAAATTTTTGAAATTAATAAGCGCAAATACAAAAGTTGTCTTAAGGCCTATGAATGTGTGTGTGTGTGTGTGTGTGCGTGTATTGCCAACAGGGACTCATCAATCGCTTATGGCATTTGCCAGTGGGCTTAGTGACAATCTCACTTGTAAACAAAATGGCGGCAGGCGCATTTCTGCTTAGCCATAAAATGGCTGAAGTTTAAGCCGATTGTGGAGAAAGTTAAGGTGTATTTCTGTGTGTGAGCTGACTACTCAATTAGCTGTGCATGTGTGTGTATGTGTGTGCGTATTTGTGTGTTTGTTGCTTACTAAAATAACATGTGCTAATATGCTGCGATTAGACTGAAACTGTTTCGAGTGCTTCAAATCCATGTGCCATTTGACGTTTAATTGTGCGCATTTAACACAAATTGACAATTGCTTAGGCAGCTCTCAAGACACGCACGAGTTCATTATACACGCACACATACATTTAATTACAATTGCAGACATGGGAGGCATTACAATCACACACACACACACACACGCACACGCACACATACACACACACAGAGAAACACACACAAGAGCGCACTTCATTATTGTGAGAAATTCGGAGCATGCACAAAGGAATTTGTTTTATTTAAATTCTTGGCTTTTGTTGCATTTGTTTTGTATCTCTCATCTGTGTACAAAATAAACTTTTAGATTTGATTTTTTTTTTATGATGAAAATAAAATTATAGCGGTCATTTAAACATAAATCGCTTCTGGGTCGTGATGGCCTTTGGATGTGATGCGAAGTGAAATACTTACAAATTTAAGCATTTAAATTATTGTAATTTAAAATAAACGGATTAAGTGGATGAGTCAGAAGTTACTTGTCTAACAAGAGATTGTTTGGGTAATTTAGTGGTTAAGGTATGATTACGTGAAGCTGGAATGAGTTTAAATGAAAGTCTTAATTTGTATCTGGGTTGCTTCCTCATTAAGCCAACTGCTCAGAAAAAATCTAAGGAAAGAGTTGACATATTTTTGTAGAGCTACAAAACTTTAAAATCTATTTTTCTTAAGCTCGAATTAAAAATGCCAACAACAGAAACATCAAATATTACCTGTGTTCCTAATGAGAAAAATATTTTAAATTTTAGCTAAAAATTACTAAAATGCTATGACATAAAGATATATTTTTCAGCATATTGCACTGCCTAAAGTCGCATTGCGAGCTTGTCAATTATTAAAAAGATGCACATATATGCTAATAAAAGCGAAACAGTATTTTTAATTCTATTTTTGTTGCTGTTATTTTTTTATGGGTGCATAGCAAATGCGTTTAAATTTGATATGAAAAGAGTTTTGTTCGTCCTATTATGCGAATTGGAATTTATGCGCAAATGTTGCATCTATTGTGGCACACTCTTTCTCTCTGCCACCCTCCTCTCCCGCTCTCTTCCACTCTTTCTTTGTGAATGGCACGCAATTTGCATTTAAAGTGAGTCGTTTAGATGCTTAATTGAAATTGCGCTGCTATATCGAGATAAATATTATATAGGAATTTGTGTCACCGTCTAAACACAATCCGAGGATGTATTTATAGCTGAACTAAATTGGGTTAATATAGATATGTGACAAAATGGTCGAAGGGAGTTATTTATAACTTTATGCATTTTCACAAAATTTTCATCATATATTCATGAGTTTAAAATTCATTTTTGCATTTTAACTGAATAGCAGAGTGGAATTCCTGGGAGTTTTCAAGAATTTAAATATGTGAAAATTGTTTTTTGAATGAGTTTGCAATTATTTGAATTTGTTTTTATTTAATTAGGTTTAATGATAAGAGGAAGAATTTATTCTGACACTGGCTTTATTAATATTTATTTATCATTGAATTTTAAATGCTTTTGTTAAAAAGTCAGAACTTTCTATAATGCTAACAAAAGTTGATAAAAATAAATCGTGCGATAATGTTAAACTCTTTTATTTATGTACTTGTCAGTGGAAATATTTTCTGTGTTACACAATACTTTGTTTTTGTAAATTCTGGCACTGAGCAGAAAATATTATATTATATTCTGGGTAAGCCACATAGCTGAAAGTCATCAATTCAAGTATTAGTTTCGTTTATTTAAACCAATTAAGAATATACCACAAAGATAAAGCAAATGATTAAATTAAGATTGATGGTTGTGTATTGAAAATGCCATTTAATTTCCAATTTCCTGGCCTTGAAATCTGAATAGTTTTCATTTAACGTTTCAATGCGCTTGCCACACCCCACCAGAAGCTCCGCTCACAGTTGAATAAATAAAATTACTCGGGCAATAATTTAACGCAACTTACATAAAGCCACACACAAAAAAAGAGAAGAAGCTGAAGCGAAGTAGAAGTCAATGGCAAATCAATTTGATTGACAGAGTTTGTGATGCAGACCATCAGATTGAGGCGGCAATTAAATGCGTGTTGCCAGGTTCATTGAACAGTTTTGCCGCCTCACCAAGACCAGAAATCAATCATTGGAATCCCTACCTCCCACACCACCTCCTCCCGGGAAGCAGATGAGGTCACACAACAATTCTCATGAAAATTCGCACCATTAATTCGATAACATTGTCGACGATGAGATGGTAACGGGGACGGGGACGTGGACGGGGACGGGGACGGGGCCAGAGCAAAGGGTCAGGCAAATAACTTGGCAGGTTAGCGGCAGGAAAAAGGGCGTCATAATAAACAGAAATCAGCACAAAAGTCAATCAATGGTCAAATCAATATACATAAATACCATATTAATGGACATTTTGTGGCATATTCGTTTATGATTTCACAAAATATCGCAAATGTGCACAAGAATTTCAGCAATTTAGCTTTTATATTAGTTATGATATCGATAAATCGAAACTACTGCGAACTTTGCACCAATCACCAGTTCAAAACATTGATAACCTGCTAATAATTTTGCTTTTTTATAAGGCTTTTCGAATAATTCCATTGATTGTTTGTTCTATATATATATGTTGTGGGCATACAAAATATAAAATAGAAAGATAGCTGCAACTATCAGTAAAATGTCAGCTGATGAAAAGTGTCTAGTAGTAAAAGCAAGGTCAATTTGATAATTGTCATCGAATTCGCATTATTACTGATTAGTTTCTTACAGAACAACTTTATGAGGAAATTCAAATGCCTTTGTTTTCTGAATAAACATTTAAGCTGTTTAACTGTTTCTACTGCAATAACTATGCTAAAACTTAATGCGGAATACAGTTCTTAAGATGGTTTGTCCTCTAAATTGATTTTAGATTGATAATAAAAACGAATTCGAGTTCGAAATTGATTTTAAAACTTATAACTATATAAATTATATATTATACTTTATTAAAATTCGGAAGTAGCAACGTCTCACTTTTTTTTATACATATCTTTTTTATATGCCTGATGTGCACATGATATATTTCAGAATATGGACATTTTTTTTAGTGTTTTCTTTCGAATAAATGTCACATTTAAGAATTTAAAATATTTCTAATGATGTTTTAATTAAATTTACTTTCTAATTGACTGTTTTCAACTATATTAAGTGGATTCCCTGTCCAAGCCACTATGCAAAACATTTTGAAAAACAACGATTGGTAATGAATATTTCGCTGATGATAACTTAATTAATGAAAATACTAAACTAATGACATTAATGATATTAACACAATTTGCTGCGCGAAGTCCACTGCAGCATTTTTAAATATTTCAAATATATTTTTCCACGTGTTATCATTTATCAGTTAATTACTTTTAATTTTGTGTTTGCCTTTCGCGATTAGGCTGATAAAACTTTGTTCCCAATTACGATAAACTTGACGTTTTTTTCTCATTATTTTATGTAGTCGCACGAAAAGACGCGGTTTGTGAATCTGCTACACTGTAATTACAGACTAACCAATTATAAGGTGGGTTGAGTTTTTTAAGAGAGTTTCATTTTTGTTCCGTTGAGTTTTTTAAGCCGCTCTTAAGTTCTCTCGCTCTCGCGACATAATTGGATATTTTGTTGCTGTTGTTGTTGCTGTTGCTGTTATTGGGAAAAAGGTGGCGTGATGCGTGACGTCATACAAATGAACAATAATTAAAGAAATAACAGGTAAACAACTAATTCACAAATAGAAAATATCAACTATGTGTCACTTTTGGCTCGGTAAATGAATGAATCACTTTATTCATTTATCCCATTATGAATGATGGTCGCAAATGTTGATGCTTTAGTCGATTAAATCAATGGAATTGAAACACGTCACAAGCGAGTGCCGCTCTATCGCTTTCTCTCTCACTCGCGCTCTGTCACTCTCTCTATCCCCCTCATTCGTTTGTATTCTAATTAAATATACAATTAGTAAACGTACACACTTTGTATTGTGTTTTGTTTTTGTGATTTCAGCAATATAAATAATGTTGCTAAGTCATGCGCATTTTTCAAAATCACTTGCCAAAAAAGAAATCACGCCACACTTTTAAATTTTCGCTCAACCCATTTTTGTGGCAGACGTGGCGTATGCGTAATTTTTATGTGCAAGCGCATTTATAAACCAGTCGCACACGTAGTTGATTACAATTTTAAATCAATGAATACAATTTTCTTGAATTTCCTACAATTGCAACAAAATGTTCCACAGTAAAATTTGTCACAAACCTTTGGATAAGATTAGAATTATTCTCTTATTAGTTGCTTGTCGTTGTAGCATCAGCTATTCCAACAAAATATTTGATTAGTACATTTTTTTAAATCAGTTTATCTGTGATAACAGAATAGTAAATTCCACCTAAGATTATCAATTTTCAGTTTACGACACAAATAAATTATAAATGATTAATTGGTTGTTGTGAATTTTACTCCGTTTTCTAGGGATAATAGCATGTCAAACTAAGCTTAAGATTATCAATTTTTAGTTTACAATACAAACAAATTGTTAAGTAAAGTATATGCTTAAAGCTCATAAGCCTTTTTGGCACTTAATCCCTGAATTGTCTGCCCTTATCCCTAATTCATAGTTAACTCCAATAAGTCGCACTTTATTTCATTTATATCCACAAAACTTTGAAACGAGGCGTTTAACATTGAAATCTTTTAAATAAGTCGCTAATTTTGTTATTGTATTTGTTTTCCCTGTTATGAAAGACTGAGTTGTTAAGTAGCTAATGTCTGTGTGTGTATGAATAACTGTGGCTGCAATACTCAAACAATTGCAAGTTGTTGTTACACTTTTTTGGCTTCATCATCTGAAAGTTGTTTTTAGGCTGTAACCAGTTTATGTGCTCATAATAATATATGTGTGCTGTATATGTACATCAGGTAAAATGCGTTTTGTAATTAAGCCAAAACGGAAATGAATGCAACCGACGACGACGATGCTACGGGCTGTACTCATGTACTCATCCAGTTGAAATCAGTGTGCCACAGCACGTGCACATTTTTGAGCAAAATTATCCAAGTTAATTACAAAAGTCTGGACGAGGACGACGAGTTTCTACAGTTTCTGGCATCTACACATTTATCAAGTTATGCTCCTGCTTCTGGTTCTGGTCCTGCCTGTCACGACAGATTTGAGGATACCCCCGGGCCAAAACTTGTTTAATTTCGATTTTAAAATAAATTCAACAGCAGCCTCGTCGCACTGCTCACCTCCTTCTTGTGGCTACTTGTCAGCATTTTTATTTTAGTTCTGAATCTAAATCTGACATTCATTAGACTGTCATGAACGTGCCGAGAACTTCGATTGCTGTTGCGGTCGCAATCTGAGTGCAAACCAAAATAGATGTTGACAATTTTCCATTGGCAATTACAAGTTTTACGACAGTTTCAGCTGATGCTAAAAATGTTATTGCTCAAGTTATGGAGCACTAATGAAATGGCGAATATGGTAAAAATAATCAATAAACAGAAACGGAATTAATAACATTCAGAAAACTGAGAATGATTTTATACGAACATCTTTTCTAAATAGTGATTTGATTCGGTTTATCTTATTTAATACTTGAGGGAGTCAGTAAGGCCAAGTTTATTTAATTTGAATATTTTTCGCAAGGTTATTTCTAAAATTAGGCTTTGACCTATCAACTGCTTCTCACGCTGCGGTTTGGCTTAAGTGCTTTTTGACCTGGCCTTAGCCTGTTTCGCGTAGAGCCAACTATTTTTGGGAGTTAACATTTAGGTAATTGTGAAAATACATTTCGGTGTAAATTATTTATTATTGTGTAAATGTCATTGGCATTGACTTAGAGCCGACTTTTTGACCAACTATTGTTTTTTAACCTTTTGCATTGCTGCTAACTAAATATTCAAAGTTTTGAAACTGTTTTTTTTTTTGCTGCGCTTTATGCGAATCTCTTTTTGTGTTTTTTTAAAAATGTTTTTGGCAAGTCGAAGGCTTTTTTTATATTTATTTTTGTTTTGTTGTTGGGGGGTTTTGCGAAATCGCTCAAAGACAACGATAGAGTGCATTAAGGTCAAATGCTTCATTAGTTTTAACGGTTTCCAATAACATCAGTCAAATCGTTATTTGCATTTGTAGTTAATAAGCTTAAGTTGTTTTTTTTAATAGTCTTGATTTTGTGTATATAATTTGCAACATTTTATTTGTAATTTCCCTAAGGATGGACATAATTAACTTTACTTGGTTATAAATCTTTCGATCTTTACCAATGAGAATAAACCAATGGGGTCATTCAGATGAGATTGGCTGACTTTTGTTTTATAATTTATAATTTGGTCTTATAATTTATATATATATTTTATTTTTCATTTGACTTTAGTTTTTACCCCAACTTTTGTTTATAACTTGTTGCGTTTTTGATCGCATGCTATGAAAATGTTTGTCTGCCTATTGGCTTGAAATTAAATCTAAGACTCCTGCGAATATACACTTGACGTACTTCTCAGCTTACAACTGATTCACTTGACTATTTATTCAGCTGTTGGGCTGTATAAATATTTATAGTTTGAAACAGGTTCGAATTTCGTTGGCATGCATTGCTCTTGTTTCTTCTTTGGATTGCGCTCCACGTGGATCTCTACATTTTTGACGCTCACTCACACCACTGTGCATGCCAGTTTGAACACACAAAGCGTAACAACTTCACACACAAAAAAAAAGAAGAAGGCAAAGCATAAAAGAAACCGAAACACTTGTTGCTCTCCGTTCGTCTCTTCCACGCTCTCTCTTCTCTCTCTCTCTCATTCTCTGCAGCAGATGCCGGCCGGCTGAAGAAGCAGAGCAACCGAAAGAGATGCGATTGAGAGCGCGGCTTAGGAAAGGAAAAGTATGACAAAATTGTGACTTATCCGAGGTCTATGCAGAACTGATGACGTTGTTTCAGCTCAGTCGTTGAGAAATTTATTAGCTCGAAATATGATAAACACAATTATTAAGAATTGAGAATGCTGGCTTGGTGGATCGATCAGTAATTCGAGACTCTATCAGATTCAACACAAATATTGCACTACGCACAGGCGGCTTAAGTGACGTGAAGTGCAAAAATTAACACAAATAATAGCTTTTTAAATTTTCTAGTAGGATTAAACACATGATTGTTATTGAATATCATTTACTTATATATATAGATATATATTATGCAATGCGTGTGATTTACTTACTTATATCCAATGACGTATTTGCCTTGCCCGACACGTTCAGGAACATGAAATCCATACTCATTTTATTGAAGAAGATAGAACCAATGGAATTGCTACTAGCAGGATTAATGCTATTTGCTGCTGCTGACGGTGCAAAGCTTTTCAGTTTATCCAGTTGCGGTCCCAGCGTTGTCGTCTTCATGATCTTCTCCAGCAGGGCCGATCCGATGGGGGCCGCGCCCGTCACCTGAGCCGCATTTATCGCAGCAGCATTGCAAAATTTACTGATGCTCAATATGTATGTGATCGAGATCAGATGGAACGACGATGTGAAACTGAAGCTGATCAGCTGCTGCACACGACTCTGATAGTTTGAGCTGTTGCCAAAGAAGATGCTCACTTTGGGCGGCTGCGTTGAGTCCTGGGCGCAGTTGTTGTTGTTGTTGTTGTTACTGCTGTTACTGCTGTTACTGCTGTTGTCTATTGTTGTTGCTGTTGATGTGGATGATGATGAGTTTGTTGTTACTGTTGTTGCATTGGCTAGCGGCTCATCCATTTTATAGTGTTGACTCTATTGTGAATTATGATTGGACTATGAATTTATTTGAATTGACACTGTAAAAGAGAAAGTAAATTCACTTTAGCTTCAAAGCACTTTTCACGCAATTTTCTTTGCCCTGTTCCCATATTAAATAATAGTCCGATGTCAGTCCCGGGCAGCGATGTCAACGCCTGCGTCAGCTGTTTTCGCGAGAGACATATTTCAACTCTACCAACTAAATCTGAACTGTTGCCAAAAAAATTATAAGATAAAAGAGAGAGAGGAGAGAGAGAGAATGGCAGAAATATTTTTGGCCATTTGCTCGAATTGAATATAAACCGCAAAACAAAACGAAGAGTGTTTAAGAGCAAACGAAACGTGAGGAACAGCCAAAAAAAAAAAGAAAGAAAACATAAATAAATTAAAATAAAACAAGATAAAACGCAGAAGAAGAAATATCATACGATGTTGCAGAAAGCCGCCATAAAGAAAACATGCAAGAACTCTGCATCGGAGCATGATGTATCCGAACAAACCCTATAATATAATTTATCGCATTTTTTTAGTGCAATTTTGAAAACGCAACTTTCCTTGCAATTGGAGCAGTATTCGTTTGAAGATTGTATGCTAAAAACTTATGCATTTATGCAATGCAAATTCTCTACTTTCATGTGAGTTTAAAAAGAAGAAAAGGGCGTCGACTTTGTTCAAACGTCCGGCGGCGGTCAGCTTGAATGGTATGTGAATAATGTGCTTACAAGGAAAACCCTAAAAAGCAAACAGCAAAACAAAAAACACGCAACTTTAGGGCTTGTCATGCTGATAGTGTGACATGAATAGGTCGCATTCATTCGTACTCTAAAAAGTGAATCAGAATAGTTTGTGCTTAATTATTATTATCTATTTGTTATCTCAGCAATAAGCTCTTCAAATGACGAGCTGAAGCAACTTTACTATTGCCAAATGTGCCTTGCTCAATATGTCATCTATACCATGTCAAAAAATCATATGCTCAATGCTCGAAAGTTCTAATTTTATTTTCAAATAAAAAAAAAAAATAAGCAACAACTTATTTTTTTTTAAATTTAATTTTTTTTTTGATTTTTTTTTTTGGCAAACTCAGCGCGTATTGTATGCGGCCTCGAACTGCACGTGTTCCGTATGCATAAATTGAACATACATTGAGCCGTACAAATTTATGTATATGTATGTGTATATAGCATAGGTCAAAGCATATGGGTTTCACACAATTCAGCTAAACATTTTCATACGCTTGCAATTAACACTTTTCTGTGTGTGACCATTTGTTGTACTACCTCTTTCACTCTCTTTCGTTTTCGGTTACAAAAATGTATGTTATTCACGTAACGGCATGTAAATCAATGACGGTAACAAACAACACGACTGCGCACAACGCACGACGCTTCACGACTAACCGACGAATGTGCTGGCAACAGAAATACGAAGCATTCCCCAACCGATCGCCACGCGTACACGTTTTTAACGAAAAGTTTTTATCGTCTCTACATAAATCCAGAGAGAACGTTGCTCTCGAGCGTAACCGACTCCTAAATACTTTGATACTTTGACATGAGTATCCATACCATCTGATAACAGGTGCCACAAAACATTGTGAGTATTTCCAAGAAATATCGATCTTTGACGTCCAAGTTTGCATTTAAGTTGCGGTACCTATGGGCGTGACATATGCCGACTATATGTGGCCTTATCGATATGCAATTATCGATTTATTAATTTCAGTATTTCATTGTCTGACCAGGGCACAGACCAATATATGTTCCCAGTTTCAAATATCTAAACGGACATTGCACAAAACCATTATACAATGATACCTTCGCGAACAGAGTATAAAGAGAGAGCAAGAGCGTGAGCCGTCGCTTAGAGTTGCACGGTGTAAGCAGGTGGTTGTAAATATTTTTAAGCTCTTTGCATATTGCTCTTAAATGTTGAATACACGAACATCCATGGCACTAACTCACATTTGGAGGTGTGAACGTGGATTGGTCGCAAGCTGTGGTAGCTTGGCTGCGGCGCTGACCGATAGCAATGAATTTAATTGTCAAGCTGTTCGCTGAAATTGAAATTTGTTCTTGGCATAGGTCAAAGACCATGACATGCATATGCTAATTGAATTGGCGATCATAGCTAAATTGCTGAAATAAATGCATGTTTTGAAACTACCTGAGCCGACATAATATATTTAAATTAAGCATGACATTTATAATAGGAAATTAAATTTATCTAATGCCAAACTTTTTAAAATAAAGTTTTATATTTCTTGCTTAGCTAGTTCTGTTTTTACAATTGCGAAAATGTGTTAATAATTACTAAAATAAATATATATAGTGAGAAAAATTCAAACATAAATCTATTTATAGATATTTCTAGTTTTCGCATATGTTTAGCTGTGATAAACTATCTATTTCAACTGACGTAGCATCTGAATAATTCATTTTAATTTGAATGGCATTGCCTTTCAATCGAACTTGTTGGATCTTTGACATGTTTGGCAATTCTAATGGGATTTAACACCCAACGAACCCCCGAATAATTAATTCTAGACAAATTCCAGTCCAATCCCAAAGTTTAAAAAATCAAAGAAGCATCCGGTTAAGAACCTGTTAGCTTAAGAAAATGCTGAAATATGCTCAGAATGATATTTGGGTAACTAAACAATTAATACAAAACACACACACATATGTATATATATATCTGTATTTATTTAATCATCTTTACTCGGAAACATATGTACACTTAACAATAGTATGTAATAATATTGATAATCATAAACGATCTGCACTTTAAACAGAAATAAAGTTTCAACGTTTTTATTTATTTTATTTATTTTTTTTTTGTTTCTCTAATTATTAAGGATAAATTTATAATTTCTTTGCTGTTTTTAAAATTAAGTAATGCACACTTACAGCTATATACAGTTTGGAACTATGTAAATTATCTTTAGAGTTTCATTTAGTTAGTTTAGTTTACTTTAATTTAGTTTTAAGTTAGAACTCTGCGACGTATTTTGTACAACATCCTTTAAGGATTCTCTTTCTCTTCATTTATCTGTTTTTCAAAATGACCCGCTGTTAAAATAATTTTAAAATAATTTACACATACGAGTTGCTCAGTCTTTAGGCGTGTCTGCTGCGGGTTTGCTTTCTCTGCTAGAGCTCATTGATTAGATACAGAAACCCAAGAAGCTCTAATACGACGATATGCCTATGACGGGTGAGTACTACGGATAAGAAGAAAAAGGTTTTTTGTTTTTGTATTTGTTTTTGGGATAAGTTTAGTTTGGAGTTGTGATAGTTACCTCCTCATCCATGACGCTGGTGTGATCGTAGATGCGTGCGGGTAGATTCTTGCGTAGGCTAAAATGATCCTCAGTTGTGGTCTTGCGATAAATCGGATTCTCAAAGTTCATGGAATTGATGCGTCGCTTGCTACAGTAGCGATAGCCAATGAGCAGCAGCTAAAAAAAAAAATTGTTATTATTGTAAACAAAAGCAATTCTCGGAGTAGGCTACAAATTGAAAGCGATCTGGTCTACAAATATCTGTACTCATCGAATATTATCCATTTTCTATTTTTGGTTTTCTCTAAATTTCGATTAACTGTTAAGATTTTGCTTGTCTAAGAAAAATCAGTTATTTTTCAATTGTTTTTCTACTTTTAATTTCAATTACCACGAATTTTACTGATTCAAACCATTTAGATATTTTTGCGGTTCAACTATGGATTTTGTAACTCAAATTGAAATAATGGCTACGAATTTGATAACTTACCACCGATAGAAGCACCGCAAAGCCGCTGAGACTGGCAATTACGACCAGCGCTATGAAGCCAGAGTCCGGCTGAGGGCTGGGCGCTGTGGTTTGATCGATGTGCGTTTGGTTCTTCACGGGACGCCGTTCGGCAACTGTGGATTGAGGAGTGCAAGCGGAATGGCATTAAGTAGAAATCATGTAAATCACATAAGAAAACAGCAGACAAATGGACAAAAGCGCCAGATGCGACAGACATAAAAAGCACAACAATAAAAAACGCGCAAATGGAATAAGAAAACGAATGCAAAAGCTGAAAAAGAAAATATATAAAAAAAATGGTGTGTAATGTGCGGAGTTTATTTTTATTTTGGGTGGCTGTTCGGGATGGGGTGCACTTGGGACACAACCAACCAAAAATCTTCACTCGAATCCTCCATCCCACACCGCAGCAAAAGAATTTTCAATCAAATCGTTCAAAGTGCGCATTTAGGCGCAAATAAACACTTAAACGCGCTCGCGCCTTTGATGGCTAAACTTTTATGCCAAACAGGAACGAGCAACGGAGATCTGAATGGAATCACGGGAGGAAGGATGGGCGGAGGGGTTGCGGAGCACGACGTGACACAGCGGGTAACTTAAATGGCGTAGGATGCGTAATGACATCGTTAACGCGCGCCGTTTAATGGATTCGGCTTCTGATACGGATTCGGATTCAGATTCAGATTCAGATTCAAGTTGAGTTTTGCAGCGCATCTTAAATCAAGTCAAAACAGCATGCGACATCAGCTCGAATTTCGCTTTAAAGAGCGCAAAGCAACAAACCCCAGATGAATCAGTCGACACGGCGCCATATTAACCTCATACTTTGCGGTTGGCTTGGTTTAGTGTCTGGCGAGTGGGTCGGCTCGGTTCGCTTCGGTTGGGTTGGGTGGCTGAAAGGGTGTCTTGTCTTTTCTGTAGTACTCGTATCGGTTGCAACGTTAACAGCACACACCCCCACCTACACACCCCTTGTGCTGCCTACTTGCGGTTGGGCTGTGAGTGTTGCAAGTGGCTCTCGCTGGCGTTTATGAAACTGTCAAGCCTGGCTGGCGCTGAGGAGGTTGCCTTTTGATGATGATTAATGTGAGCCATGACAAAGCAAATGTTATGCCGGCATGGCAAATGAAGTGCTTGGCTAGAAAACACCAAATACCAAATACACATGCAACACAGAACCACCAACACCATCACCATGGGAATTGCGACGCAGCCGAGCTGTTGAGCTGTCGAGCTGTCGAGCTGTGGCAACATCTCAGTGCATTGGCTTAAAATTCGTGTGATTAATTTAATTCGCTTTGAGCTTTAGCTTTTGATCCTAATACTAACTAATGATAGATGCATACACATTTCACTCAAAATGCAACAATAAGAGTTAAGGCAAAATGAACTGAACGCGACTGCTGATTAATGGTGTTCAAATGGCATGAACATCGCTGGGACTCTAGTCACATTCCTCAGCAATAACTGTAATATATTCAAACTACCCATATTCATATTCAGATTTCATTTTTTAGCTACCAATTTGCGTAGAGCGTATTTTACTTTCAGCGCAATAAAGTTGGCTTTGAGTTTTTAAGGGAAACCATTTTTTGCAATTGCATTGCCAAATTGAATTTCTGCCCCGTTACTTAAGAACTAACACATACACATATGGACATACAAATAAGGACATGAACACAAAGAGGGTAAGGAACTAGTATACCCAAATCTTCATGAGTCTGTGGCAATCGGAGGGGTAAGGAAATTGCCTGATTAGTATCGGTTAGTATATGGCCAAGATTATCATTAAAGGTGACAACTCGCTGTTTCGGTTTCGGTTTTGTCTTAAATCTGTGAGCACGCGGCGGCTTGGTAACAACTCTAAAAGTGGCTGCATTCGATAACATGCCAGGTTAATAAAGGTTAAATAAAAGTGTTAATAAGGATAGCATGCAAAAGAAAGGAAAATAACTCGGAGCTACTTACGATCTTCGACGCACATGAGACCATCGGCCATGAGCTTGAGGCCCGTGGGACAGGCGCAGGAGATGCGAGGACTGCGCTCATTGATGCGCGGCGCCGGCAGGCAAAGATGTGAGCAGTGACCATTAACCGATTGGCAGTGATTAATGCCATCGGGCTGGCGATACGGATGATACACATGAATGACCATGGGATGTTGGAGCTGTGAGCGAGTAGAAAATGTAATAAGCATATATATATAAGGATCATCCTCTTTATGTTTAAGTTTACCCACCATATGCACAGCTGTGATGGGCTCCACATCCTCCCCTGTGAACTTGTTGGCCTTGAAGACTGTCTGCTTGTCCCAGTCGGTCCAGTAGATGTAGTCCTCGAAGGTGCTTATCGAGAAGGGATGTCGCAAGTACTCCGTGGAGTACAATATTTGTCTGCGCTGTGAGCCATCGTAGTTGGCCGAGGAGATGACATTCAGCTTGCCATCCACCCAGTAGATGCGCTTCCTCACCAGATCTAGAGTGATGCCATTGGGCCACTTCACATCATAGTTGATAATTGTGGTGCGATGGGAGCCATCCATGCCGGCGCGTTCGATGCGTGGGGACGCTCCCCAGTCCGACCAGTACATCCACCCCTCAATGGGATCCAGGGCAATGGAGCGTGGTATGTCCAGTGAATCCTCGATCAGCACTTTGCCCATATTGCCATCGAAGTTGGTCAGCTCGATGGTGCACTTGTGCGTGTCCGTGTAATAGACATGGTTGTAGATCCAGTCCACTGCGAGGCCATCCGACGTAACAGAGGATTGCTTCAGCACCACGGTCTTCTCGTTGCCCTCATCGATGGGCGCCTTGTAGATGCTCTGCGTGGTCACATCGCTCCAGAAGATCATGCCCGTGCGGAACACAAAGTCCAGCGCCGTCGCTGACTTTGTGTTATTCACAATCGATGTCATCTCCATGTGATCCAGCGCAATCTTGCGTATATCATGACGACGTGCCAGGAGCAACGAGGCGTGTCCTTCGGTTGCCTTGCAGCGTGTGTGATTCCGAGGATCTCGCATGTAGCCCGCCTCACACTCGCACTTGAAGCCGCCCACTTCATTCACACAGATCTGGGAGCAGACACCTGGTTGCTCGCACTCATTGACATCGAGACAGGTGCGATTGTCACCTGATAGTTTGTATCCCTGGTGACAATCGCAGCTGTAACCCACCAGGTGGTCCACACATCGATGCATGCAGTTGCCATTTTTGATAGCACACTCATTCTGGCCACATTTGCCAGCCGGCTCATCCTCGCCATCGGGGCAATCCTTGCGTTTGTCACAGACTTTCGATAGGGGAATACATTGTCCGCCTCCACAATCAAATTGGCTAGTGGCATTGCAGCCCTTGGAGTGGGCTGACAACTGACAATCCCGCTCATCGCTGCCATCGGCACAGTCCGCCTGTCCGTTGCAGGTGAGGTGTCCGGCAATGCAGCTGCGATCGCCGCATTGGAACTGATCCGGTCTGCAGGTGATGTTCTTGCAGCTGGAGGCATGCTCGTCATCGCCGTCGGGGCAGTCGCGATCTCCGTCGCAAAGCCAGCTGTGGTGCAGGCAGGTAATGCGATCCTTGCACTGATACTCATGTGCCAGGCAGGGCGTCACCAGCTTTGTGGCATTTGCGCAGGACTGCAGGAGTGGTGGTTTTGATGAGGGGGAAAGAAGTCGGATGAAAAGTTTGTCGAAGTTGCTTGTTAGAAGTTTGTGTTGAAAGTTTTCGTTGCATACTTTTAGTTGCTTACACACAAAATTATGTGCACCCAGCACCCACCGCCTCCGTAACCCACTCCTCGCTCAGGGTCCTGAAGTCCCTTTCAACCAAAATGCAATTTTATGCGTACTACGCGTTGACAACAAAAGCTGCCAAAGCTGAGTTATGTGCAACTTGGCGGTAATTTATATGTCAGCCGTATTTTTGCCTACACGCACACAAAGTGAGTGGGCATTTTCGACTAGGAGTTACCCTGCAAGCGACTATGAACTGCCCAAATATATATTTATTGCTGTGTAAATTTCAGTGCTTATAAATTGCATTTATATCAAAAATCTAGGCTGCAAATTGAATATTTTTCAAGTTTAAATTTATTTAGTTAAATAATAATAATAAATAAAAGTTAAAGTTTATTATTATCTACTAGATCAGCAATAAATATATATTTTATACCCATTTGTTATACCCACTCTTAAATTAAACGCTTGCAGGGTAAAGGAAGTTAGTGTGCTGGCAGCAGTAACTACAAACATTTTCCCACACACATACAAAATGTTAATTTATGGGACAAGCTTTTCGGTTGAAAAGCCCCGTTCCGTGCTGGCTACGTACCCGCTCGTCGGATGCATCCTGACAATCCGGATCGCCATCGCAGACCCATCGCTTGGCGATGCAGGCTCCGTTGGTGCAAGTGTGCTCGGCGACGGGGTCGCAGGGCAGGACGGGGCACTCACGCTCATCGCTGCCATCGCCACAGTCATCATCGTGATCGCAGACCCAGCGCCGCTGGATGCAGCGTCCGTTGCCGCAGGTAAACTCATCGGAGCGGCATGTCTGGTCTGTGGAACGGAGTGCAGGACAATGGATTAGCGAGTGCCAGCCCATAATAATACAAAAAAAGCTGTCAGCAATGGCCCAGCTCCAAAAGAGCGATATGAACCAATGGGAAATGAAGTATAAAGCGGAGTCAGTTGATGAATGCATGGGGCAAGTAAGTTAGCAAAGGAAAATAATGGGTACACTAATAGCGAGTCTGCGGCACAAACCAATAAAATGCAGATGCAGTGATGGCTTAACAAAAGAGAGCTAAAGATTCAAGCATCAAAGTAAGATTTTAATAAATAACTGGATTTAAATTTGTAAAAAGCGGCAGGAACTGAAAAGGAAACTTATTAAAACAATTTAAAACTCTACTCTAAAACCTATTGTTGATGTATACAAATATATATGTATTTGAGCTATTTCACTAAGTTCAACAAAAACTGAAACTAATACTGCAAGAATCCCTTTAAAAATGTTGCCATTAATTTTTATGTGGTTGCCCTCAATAATTAAAATTTCTTGGATAAATATTGTTGCTGTTGCTAAAATCAAATTACATTTTTGGATGAACAATTTTTGTAAAATCATATAAAATATTGAAAAATTGATGAAAAGCTTTCTATGGTAATTTGGTAGCTTAAAATCAAAATTTTTAACGAAAAACTTTTAATTGATGATGAAATATCGAAAGACACTCAATCCCTTGATAATCTAATAAGCAACCAGTTTTCCATGAACATATACAAAAAATATATACACAATTTAATTGGTTTCCGGATACAAATATAAAAGTATATGTATATATGAGGAAACAAGGAATATTTGTGAAAGAAATAAATATATGCATCGCCACAGAAAAATAAAAAGAATTAGGGGAAATAGTTACAACTACAAAGAAAATAAATTCTGTAAATTCATCAACTCTATTTGTTTAGAATATAATCTTGGGCAAGGCTAATTGAATTAAAATTGAACTTTCACTACAACTCAAGAGTTGCTTACTGCAATTGTGCTCATCGGAGCCATCGCTGCAATCCTTGCTCTGATCACACATCCAGGCTAAAGGGACGCACTCGCCTTCGCCACTCTTGCAGCTGTACTCATCCGGCGAACAGGTGCGTGCCTCTAAGATTTAGTTGAAGGACATTTAGACGAGACAGGACGAGACGATAGATAAGGAGAGAGAGAGAGAGAGAGAGAGAGAGAGTTTGGTGTTTCAGTGAAGGATTCCTAACTGCAGCTAATAAATTTCCAGTTGGGGCCATATTAAATACATTTATTTTCAGCTGAAGGAGCAGATGGCCCCTTTTGCTTTTCATTGTGTGTGGCCAGCAAGCTATTACATAATGCCGCAGAGAAAGCCAAGGCCAAGGATGGGTGTTAGTATGTATGTGTGTGTGTGTGTGTGTGTGTGTGAAGTGGGCGTGTGTAAGTGGGTGTGTGAATGCGCGTGTTATGGGTTAAGCACTTTATGCGCTGTTGCCAACGCGTCGTATGCGTGTTGCTCGCCTTCTTTGTTAGTGTGAGTGTGTGTGTGTGTGTGAATGTGTGCATGTGTGTGGGTGTGTGTGTGTGGGGGTGTGTGCAAGGGTCATGTGTTTATGAATATACTCGAATGCAACGATGCTCAAACGACTTGATTAAACTGCAAATGGGTGGCAAACACACACAAATTGTTTTAGAAATTATGCGCAACACTTTATTAAAATGTTAAGCGAGAGAGCGAGAGAGACAGACAGCAGTGAGTTATATGCGTAATTGTTTTTTTTTATGGTTGTTGTTGTTGTTGTCTCGTTTATTCTTACTGCATTGCGCCTCATCGGACTTGTCGCGACAGTCGTTGCTGCCATCGCAGAGCCAATTGCGGGGTATACACTGATCGACGGTCTTGCACTTGAACTCATTGTTGGGACAGGCATTCACTATATATCAATATGGCATTTTTATATATATTATATGTCTAGCTTGCATAGGCTATAGCCGTGATTATGATTTCCACTTACTGCACAAGGCACTGGCCTCATCGGAGCCATCGGAGCAGTCGTTCTCCTGATCGCAGCGCCATTTGTTCGGTATGCAGTTGCCGTTGGTGCAGCGAAAATGGTCCGTTGAGCAAGTGGCCTCTGTAAAAATAGTGAGAGAGATATTTATAGAGTCATAAAAACCACATAAATCCATAGTCAAACAAGAGTTCTTTCATCTGTGCACAATCATATTTGGCATGTTTTTTGTTTTTATGTGTCCGCCCATCATCCTGGCCTCAGAACCCGTGTCAAAAAACCAAACCAGTCAGATCTTTTTGTTATTTTTCAGTTGTATTTATAAGTGTGTGTGAGTGTGTGTGTGTGTGTATATGTGTGCGGGTGTGTGTGTTTATCTACAAGCACTTGAGCACGTGCTGTGCAAAGAAAATACTGTGCCACAACAAAAATGTGTATAAACATAAATAAATCGTTGCACACGCGGCGAGCGCTGAATTTCCAATGGCTTTTCAATGCCCCCGCGCAGGGTCAACAAATGTTTGCTTTTAACAACTTAGTTTGCTATGCTGGTTATGTGCATTAAATATTCGATTTAACCACATATTGTATGTGGCTTAAAGCACAACAAACAATAAGCTTACAAGTTTATGTGAATTCAACAAAATTTCTAAATAGTAATAAATACTTATTTATTCCATGCTCCATGTTTGTCCTAAGCATATCCTTATTTCTGAGAGCACCACCTGTTTGCTATGGTTTTGCCAAAGTGCTTGGGGCTCATTTTTAAAAATATTCCGCTAAAAACTGAAACTTTTAGCTAAGCCCATTCGATAAACGCTACATCCTCAACGCATAAATCACATTAATTTTAATCAGTTTTAATGCGATATAGAACATTTCTAAGGGGGTTGGCAGTCACAAGTTGCCATATCAATAACATTTTATATGATTACTTTTTTAAACTTTTTATGGGCGGCACAACTCTCCGGTCCGATGCTTCAGTGCCTGGCTCAGTACGCAGTCAAATGAAATGTACCATGAAAAAGCACAAAAACTTGTGTTTTACATGAGTCTTTTTTGTAGCAAATAAAGGAACAAAAAACCAATGTGCGCCAATATTTGTAGAAAACAATAATAAAAAAGAACAACAAATACAAATACGAGCTTTCGACCGTTGAACAATAAAAAATGGTCACATGTGCAACCCAGCAAACACTTTCAAATGCTCCATTTCATAATATTGCTGAGGGTATTTCAGTTCTCAAAATTATTGTGTAATGCTTTGGGTCTATTGTTGGTAAGAATTACACTTAAAGTAATAACACTCGAATGGCTACAAGCAAATATTTTGTGTTTAGAAAATTAATTTTATTAAATTCGATACGGAGGCGAATTCAGTAAATGAATATAAGTATTTAATTTAATGTTACTGCTAGGGTATTGCAACATTATCCAATTCTAAATTAGGGATTTTTTTTTACTGTTTTTGATTCATTTATTTATTTGATTTTTTTGTTGTATAAACAACGTTTGCCAATGCCCGCAGCTGGATTCGATTTCTTTTTATGTAGCTCGTATTTGACATTTTGTTGTTGCTATTTTGTGCCATAGATACATTGTATGTATGTATTTATTTGTATATATTGGTTAGATACATTGTATGTATGTATTTATTTGTATATATTGGTTTACGTACACAGCATCTATGTTAACTCAGCCCCGCGGACAAATTGCTGCGCATTTCTCTGGAGTTTTTGGGGTTTTCATTAAATTTGATTTCACATTGGGTCGCAATTAAAAATAAAATCAAAGTGTTTGTTGTTATTGGCAAAAGAGGCATTTAAAAAAAATTTAAGTGCAGTCATTGATTGCATTTACGCATGTTGCAATTGATTAAAGTGTGAGGCAAATTGCCAACTGAATTTCTGCATAATTTGAACATTTTTTCCACGTTTTTTATTTTCTTGCTTTTCATTTGTTAACTATGTTTAAACGGCTTTTCAGTTGATTAAAAAACTTTGGCCTTTAGTACCAGAGTCCTGGCAATTTGTATGCAAATGTCAGGCGACGTGTACAAAATATTCTGTTGCATGCAACGCGGCGCAGTCAAACCAGAAGACAGAGCGGTGTGAGGCGTGTGATTTATGTGTGCTGCATAAGTACATCAGGATCGGAATTTTGGGCTTGTTGAATTCGAGTTTAAAGGTGTCGCTGGTAGGTTTTACGGTTGCAAAAACAAGTTGAGCTGTAAATTGTTTCCAACTTGTTGAGAAGCAACAACTATAATGACTTAAGTGAGTGTGCTTGTTTCGTAAGCATTTGAATAGTTTGTTGAAACTGAGCTACACAAAAAATTAACGCCAAGGAGAAAATAAAAAGTTGTTGATGACAGAAGCTAAATAAGAAAGTGTTGTAGACTTAAATAAATAACATCTGAACTTATACACCATTTCTTAAGTCAAAAGGGGCTATATAAAATGATTAGCTATACATAATATGACATTGATTTTAGTCAGTTTCAAAGCTGACTAATTACTATGCTTAGTATTAGATTATAATAATTTCTGTTAAGTATTTGAAATATTCTTCAAGCATACCGTGTTGAGTAACCAAAGCGCCCAAACTGTGGCTTTGTGTGTGCAGCAAACTGGTCACAAATAATAAACACCAAATGTGCCCCATATTGAATCAAATTGTCCGAAAGCTGTGAGTGCTTTATTTGAATAAACGAATTATTAATTTAGATTATTTATTAGATTTTTTTTTGTTGATTTTTTTGTTATTTTCACTTGTCACTTAGATATGTCCTCGAAATGCGTGTGAAGTCAATTTCCATGATGTCCGCTCGATTGTAGCGGAGCAGCCAAGTTGCACAAATTGATTGCATAATTTCCGTTGCGGCCAAAAGTGCCAGGCATAATTTTCAAGTTCATTATGGTCAACAGCAATAGGAAGGTCAACAACAACAACAACAACAACCACATAATAACAAACAACTGTCAAAAGTCAACGAAATGAATATCTATGGGGGATAACCAAGGCAGGAGGCTAGGAGTTGGGAGGAGGGGAGTGAGTGGTTAGATAAATGACTGGCAGGCAAACGCCGCCGACAACATTTAGCAATTTCTGTAGGAAATTGAGGAAACACATTTAATGTGGGCAAAACTAAATGATAAATGATAAGTGCAAAACGGCCAAATCAGACGGCAAGTCTGAATTCCAAAATAGCCAGGCCCACAAAATGACACAGATGGACATTGCCGATTACTCCTGACAACGGCAACTTCACAACAAAACCTGCCACAAACCAGGCAAAAAAATAAAAATAAAAACCAAAAAAAAGGACATAAAAAAGGAAAAATTTGAAAAGAACGCACAAAACACACAAATTTCTATAGCATATCTTTGGGGTAAGCTTTTGGGGTTCCTTGTCCTTGTGCTGGCATTTTGTCAAAAACACTTTGCATAACTTCAAAGGACAGCCAGAACGCTCAACTGACATTTGTGCTCCACTACGGCATTTCGAGGACATATTAATATCTTCTTTTTTTTTTATTTCGGGCAATTTATGAATGCGAACTTTTCATTCGTCCTGTGAAAACTTTTCCATTTGGCACACTTTTTTCTTACTACACTTCCTCTTACTTTTTGCACTGTTTCTGTTTTGTTTCTAGTTCTGCTCGCCTTCAATTTTCTATATGTAAGATTCGATTTGAACACTCAACGCGTATTTTGGGTGGGATTTTCAGCTCGCACCGTCCGTTTGCTTGAAGAGTTCGCCGCCAACTGAGTGGACAGCTGCGGAGTGGCAATCCTTAAAAACAAGTGCCAAGAGTTGCTCTGCAGCATCTCTGAAGCTTTCACTCAAAATAGCCAGCAGCTGGCGGAGCGATTCGCGTGCAAAATGAGCTCAAACTCGACTGAGTTTTATCTTTGGCTCATTCATGAGCCTCTCAGCTTTTGTTGTGAGTGTCAAAGTTGAGCGACTGGTTGGTGGCTCTGTGTTTGTTGAGCGTCTATGATAATGTTGTGGAGCGTTTGTGTTTAGTTGAAGCCTAATTTGGTAATGATCCGAAAACGATTGAGCCAAAAGAGCTTAAGGACTTATGCTCATTACGAATACAAAAGCATTAACATTTCAGGCAGACTTTCAAAACATTAATAATTATTGGCTGGCATATATGGTTGAAGATGGTTTCACTGTGAATTATTAATACATGTGTGTCAAATTTAATGGTTTACTTATTATTATTTAGATAACAGCCTACCACATAAATACTGTCTTGTAATCTATCATTTTTAATTCACAAATTTTAAATGGCAAGCATCTCTTCAGAATATTAAAAATAAATTATTCATATATATATATATATATATATGTGTGTATGTATTTATATATTTAATATTTCATTGCAACTTTAAATTTGAATAATTTAATAATTATTTTTACGGTCATTGTTTTTTTTTAAATTTAATTTTACTTTATTTATTTAAAAGATAATTGCTAATACAATTTTGTTTATTTTTGATTGCATCATTCGATTGTTTGAATGCATCTTAGTAAATATAAATATGTAAGCAAGTCTGAGAAGATAAAGGATGTTAATTTCATATCATTAAGAGTTTGACCTTATACAATGTTGTATTCTTATTTCTGAAATTTCGTATTCCATTGCTGGCATCTTTTTTTGCACATTTTATATTGCTACATCAATTCCGTTTTAAGAAAAAGTTGAGCTACTGGTTTTTGTTACCTCCCGGGGCTCATTATCAATTTCACCGCTGGAAATGTGCCCTTCAGCAGAGATTGCATAAAAATTACGTTATGCTCAGCAGCAGCAGCAGCAACAATAATGTATATATATAAAAAAAATCAACTGCATTGTGCGCATTTTCATGAAGAGAGTTGCTCGCTTTTTTATTTTTTTGTAATTTTGTATTTTTTCCCGTTTTCTCGCCCGTTTTACTTTACATTGTTGTATGGGTTTTTGGTGGCTGGCACAAATATTGTGAGATAAAATAAAGCAGACGACCTCACACAGTTTCCTTTTATGTCGAACGGCGACGCAAAAGAGTCTCGTGCGACGAATTTGCGCATTGATAAATTTTAAGCTGATGCAACAAAGTTGCATGCCGCAGTCAGCAAAATTGCGTTGCAATTACTGCTAAGCGCCAATGTTGAGCGACTTGATGAGCGCCTTGGCAGAGATATGGTCAGCACCAAACCCTCCACACTCTCTCCCTCCCCCTCCCCCTCCCACTCCCCTCATCAGCGACCACCCCTCCTTTTGCGCCATACGTGCCAAATGTGGCAAACTAGTTTCGCTCTTTGATTGATATCCAACGGCGAGCTTCACTCATTCTGACGGACACCAGTGTAAGGGTCATTTTAGCGAGGCGCCGAAAAGCATGCAACATGCAATTTTGGGTCAAACTTACCGCGAAATTTGCACTCCTCGACCTGCTCATCACTGTGATCTTTACAATCGGCCTCGCCATCGCAAACGAATCGTATCGGAATACAATCTCCGTTCTGACACTGAAATTGCTTCTCATCGCACTTGGCATACAGGGATTGAGCTGAAATGAGACACAGATGGGAAAATGGAAAGTGTAAACAAATGATTAAAGCTAATTATGTTTTTTGCAGTTTAGTGAATTTTCAGCTTAAGCTGCTAAAAGTTTTCTCATTAAAAAAAAATTGAAAATTAAAATGAGAACAAACCGAACCAAAAAGAAAAAAATAAAAATAAAAATAAACAAAACAGACAAAGTGCCATTCTGGATGTGGCACAAAAGCCCAAATTGATTAGGGCTTAAAACTTCAAAACAATCAAGAGCAGACACGCGAGCTTGTTCAAATCATTTGCATACACACACAAGCCCACACACACAGACACACACACACAGAGAGACACATAGACAATGTGTGTGGCAGCTCACTCTGTCATGGGCTTTTTAATCAACAAAAATGCCAACGACAACAACGACAACAACAAAAAAGTGGCACAAAACTTTTGCAGCTTGACAATTTCCCATCTTTGGCAACAACATGTGGTTTCTTCTAGGTAGCATATAGACAGATACACCAACACACACACACACACACACACACACACAGACACACACACTCATCCATACATATTATAATAGCAGTGAAACAACAGCCCGAAACTGTCAACAGCTCTTGATACATCATAGAAAATGTGACAAGCGCAAAAAAGTTATGGATTGCCAATGTCCTATGTAAACAACCGGACAAACACATACACCCATACACCCATACACACACACACATATAAGACACACAGACACACTCTGCATTGGTGCCTCTTTGACTTTGATAAGGGTTTTCTGGTCAGCGTTGTCGCTGTACTTGACAGCTGTTTCCCATCGTTTGCAACCCGATAATAATTATTCGATTTAATCAAAACTTATGCATACATATTTAACAAGCGCAATTTGTTGTAATTTTATTTAATAACAATAACAACAACATTGTTTCAAGTTGTGGCAGACAACAAAAACATTTTAGCAAGTGCCATCAATCAATAAGGTCAAATCAATTGCTGCCTGAGAATTGTTTTCAATGATGAATGATTGTAAATAAACAAAACAGAAATCATCATTTCTTTTATACATTTACAATATTTTTTGATATTTATCATAAATGAGTTATTTGTAATGAATACTCGCAGTTGAAATTTTAATCAAATATTACTATTTTTGTGAAGAAAATTATGTGAGCTAATATAATATTATTACGAAAATTACAGCTGATAATGTTAATAAAATATCTTACTATTTCATAGATGAAAATTATATAGATGCATTAATAATTATTTTGTTCACTTTGTCGAACACAGCTAGCCAATATATCTTGTGGTCTCTTTGCTGTGGCTCTCAACATTTCCTATTAAATTTTCAATTTACGATGAGTTTACATATTTACGATGTAAATACATAGATTTTGAATAGGGCAGTAGAATAAAATCTGAAAGTCCAACAATTTTTTGTAAAACCAGACATGTCCGCAAAAATAGAATGCGAATTAATTAAGCAACTATTTGGCGGACTTCATGCTTTCTGTTGAAACTTGTTTACAGCAATCAACTGATTGACTGATTGATCGAAGTATTGATCCGATCAACTTCACAATTATTATAAAATCAGGCATGTACGTAAACATGAAGTTCGTATTAATAACACTATTTGGCGAATCGATTGACGCAAAAAATCTGATTTACTTAGTCGAAATATTGATTCGATCAACTTAATCGACGACACACGAAACAAAACAAATAACAATTGCGCATTGAACTTAGCTCGACTACGATATACCCTCAACACAGCTATTAAATATATTATCTTTTTAATTTGCAAATTTCACTTCAACTATTTACTCATCTATTTTGGACTATAACTGGAATGATTCTTATCCGAACTTGATCAAATTCAGTTGATCAATAATATGTCAACCTTTCACTTCAATTGCTATCGGAGGCACACTTATATATTAAATTAGAAGTCTCTTATAGTCTCTGAGATCTGTATACGCATACAGACGACTTGGCTGTTGACCCTGATCAAGAATATATATACATTACGGGATAGGAGCTGCTTCCTTCGCCTGACTGTCACATACTTTTGCAGAAAACCATTATACCCCTTTTCACAGATTCGTCATGGGTTCTGGGTGTAATAATTATCTTTAGTTATTGTTTTAATAATATATATTTTTTGATATGCCGCATAGGCGCAGCTAGACGCCTGTGCTTATCTGCAGTCGCACGACCAGGCCAGACGGTTCAAGATAAAAGCAGCAATAAATAATTTATACGGCTACCAATGTTAAGCAAATATATAAACGCAATGCGATTGCTTAGCATAAAATGTGATATCGATAACTTGCATGTCTGCGTGCGATTAATAGGTCGCGCGTAAGGTGCTGGGAACATTGATTGTAATCAGCTTCGGGTGCTAATTAAAATTAATTTATGCTAATGTGCTGCTTATAGCTGTCGCAAGCAACATTCCAAGTTCAGTGTCAATTAAATTAAAGCGATTTTTGGATGAATAGTTGGCAATATATATGTCAGTCAAATGAAGTGGGCTTTGATTGAAATTATCAGATGCACAGAGAGCCCAAGCAATCAGAGCAGATTAATTGAGAAATGTTGTTGTTTTTCTAATTGTTGCACACAAAAACAAAACAATTAAAGGCGGCAGCGTCATGTTCCTGAATTATACAAGTCGTCAACAACTAGCAACAACGAACACGCCCACTATTCATAAATGTTGTTGTTGACTGCAAAACTAGTTGAATATACTAGAAAATCTTCTGGCACTGTGCATAAATTAAGACCGAAATAAAATGGCATGAACAAAATAAATGAGCTAACAAATAAAAAAAATCAACTTGCACACACAACTTGTAAATCAAAAAGAGCAAAAATAAAAAAGCAAGAAATATATATACGTAGATTATATATATATATATATATATGTATATATTTGTATTCTATGGCGACCTTGCACATGTTCATTTATGTGACAGCCATCTAACAGAAGCTTTACACAAAACGAATAAGCAATAAATCAGCGTGTAAAGAGTGAAACACAAAGTATGAAACATAATTCACAAAAAGAAGGTAAAGCAAAGCGATATAAAAATACATTTTAGGGGCTCGTCTGATCATAACTCAGGTAATGCGTATACTGCGAGTCTTTGTAGTTAAATTTAAGATTGAGAATACACTGCAAGAATCGATGATTCAGTTCGAAGACATTGGCTGACCCATTTAGAGATCGCTTTATATACTTGGTATATATTCGTGCTGACGTTCAATATAAGAAGACATCTCTCAGATGCGCCATTTGGATAGCATCTTATTTGTGAGCACAAAGTCCAAAATGCAGATAGCAAAGTACAAAATTCAAATCTCCTTTTTTTTTGTTATATTTTTAAGCTAAAAATAAAATGCTGTTGTTTTTTTGCGTGTTTAAAATTGAAATTGACGTAAAGAAAATAAATTCTTTTCGAGTACGTCAACTCAACAATTCAAAAATAAAATACTTGTTTTTACAATTTTATTTGAAAAATTTTATCTACATCTGGTTATAGGTAGTCTACTTCCCGAAATCAAAGTATAACTAGGCCATTCTGACGACCTTCTACGGAACCAAATCGAACTGATTGAACGGAAATATTCAATTGGCAAATCGCTGCGAAAAAAAAAACATTATAAAAACAAATCATAAAATTGGCGACTTCGATAAGATAATCTGACTTCAATAAATTTACTGGCAGTTGGTTTGATTTAAAGAAATTTACGACCAGAATATCCCCAAGGTAATCGCCAATGTCGTAAAGACTCGACTTAATGCGACGCCAATCAATCTTATCAATCACAGACAAATACGCAGTCCGTCGACAAATCAAACGAAATGCAAATTCGGCGAAAGATTGTACAAAGAAAAGTTGTCAATGAAATTTTGAGTAACGTGTCAACTGTTGACTGAATAATCTTGATTTTGAAGTTGTGAGGCAGTTTTAAGCTTCGCATGTGTTTAGTATTTATAATGTTATACATATAATATATTAAAAATGTTAATTCGGCAAAGGTTTCGAAAGTAGTTAGCCACTTTCAAGCTATTTGCTTTAGATATGTTTTTCGGTCAAGTGTTTCTATTACTTTTGAATATACTCTCAACGAGATTTAAAATGTATCGAAGTACATAAAAAATGTATATATATAAATTATAAAAAATAAAAAGGAGGTCACTAAACAATAAAAAATAGCTTATAAATATGTATGTCTGACTATAATATATATTCATATAAATGTTATATGTTAAATGAATTATGATATGCAAAATATATTCATATTTGCAAAGATTCGGTTCAAACGAGTGGTTTTATCTGAATATTTAAAAAAAAAAAACTTTAACAGCATCAAATATGTTTTATATATAAATAGCTTAGCTAAAAGTATTAATTAATATATATAAATTTAATTTGGACTATAGCAAGTATATATATATGCTTAGTTGTGCCTGAGACAGCAAAGCCTTTCTGTTTTTTGTTAGTTTTGTTTAGATGTAAGTTAGTTCAGCTGGGCTTATTGCAACTGAATGCGATCTAAAATTAGCACAGTCTGGTTAAAAGCACACTGCACTGCCCCCTGAACCGCGTCTCCCACCCAAATAATCACCTTCTCTCCCACCCAGTTGCAAGCCGAGTGGGTTTGCTTTTAGCCTGTTTGTCTTACCTATGCCTAGCGGCGTGCCGATCTTGCCAGATACGTTGAGGAACTTGAAGCCCAGGTTTAGGATGCCTTTGCCATCGAGATGTTTGGTCAATGTGGCGCCACCTGCCGCTATCAGCTGATGTTGATTATGCGTTAAATTGGGCAGCGCTATTGTGGGCGTGGCCGTGCAACATTTACTCAGTGTCAGCATTAATGTCAGCAGCAGAAGGTTCGCATTGGCGCAAATGCAGCTGAACAGCTGTTGAGCGCGTCGCTGGCAGCTGTTGTTGTCGCTGTTGTTGTTGTTGTTGTGGCCAGTTGTTGTTGTTATTGTTGATGTTGCCTTTGTTGCACTTGTTGTTGTTGTTGTTGTTTTTATTAATGTTGTTCTTGTTGTTGTTGTGCTATCACTTAGACTGCTCGTAGAGCGTAACTCTATGGCCATGGTATGAACTTTGTCTAGTTATGCACTTTTTTTGCTATTCCGGTTGCACGTTCTCTTCCTGTCTATTTTGTATTTTTTATTGTTTTTTGTATTATGCTTGGTGCTTTAGTTTTTCCAAGCTGTCAGTTTTGTCTATTTGCTTGCACTTTCAATTTCAATGGGTTCTCGACATGCTCAAGGGCTCTATGTGAATAGAAAGCCAATCGTTTAATAAACTATCAGGAAGCAGTGGATCTGCTGACATTATCTAATCACTCAGACGGCGTCTGCGCTGCTTTTTTTTTGTCAAATTAAACGAACGGCAACATTGAAAATTGTTGCCAAAATAAATACACACACACACACATAAAACACACACATGCACACCCAGACAAAAGCGAGTCACTAAAAACGGCCGAGAAGATCCGAAAAGCCAAAACGACGACAATCGTCTGAAATGCAACAAAAACATCATACGCAAACTGGTTAAACAAATCGTATGATCCGGCACACACGCACACACACACACACCCAGGCACACACAACAGGTCGGTTCGCCGCAAAGACTGCCAAATGCCCAGGCATAACGTAAGTTGAAACAACAGAAGAGAAGGTGAAAACAAAAACACAAAATGCTATCTGTTGACGTAGCAAATTATTCAAATTGTTTTGCGGACCACAAGCGAAGATTTTACTAGCTATCTCATTTTAATTAATTAAAAAAAAAGATGTACAATTTTTTGGTGGCACACGTTGTCCGACCACCTATTGATAAAAAAAAGAACCGCATCGATTGGCTTATCAAAAAGAAAACAAAAACAAAAACAAATTTTAGCGCGCATGTCGCAGAATTTCCATTTGCACGTGAGGTATTTGTTGTTATTGTTGTTGTTGTTGCTGCTATATTTACACTTTGTAATGTATTTGTTCTATTTCGATAGATTGTTTTCAGCTTTTGGTTTTGGCCACAAAAAACGCAGCTGCCTCGTGCAATGCGCGTTTTTCAACTGATTTCGTTTTGAGAATTCGCCAGCACATTTAAGCGAATTGTCATCCAAACTGCCTTGAAGACAACCAGCGACGAGCACCCCCCGCGATCGCCCAGTCTAGCTGATTGTGAGCGCAAAGTTGCTCAAATTGAACTTATATTTATATATATATCTGTATATATGTATATATTTATTTGAGATACCTTCAGATCGGCTTATCACAGCGCCAGCAATCTCACCTCAAATGAACGAAAGGTGCTTTGGTTTTTTCTAAGCACACGATAGCTATCTCTCTCTCTCTCTCTCTCTCTCTCTCTCTCTCTCTCTCTCTCTCTCTCTCTATCTCTGCTTTTGTCTCTCTTTCTGTCTGTTTGGCGATGCTTTCGTTTGCTCTTCTCAGATCATTTTCTTCAGCACAGCTCTTAAGTGCGGTGAGTTTTGCGGCAGAGGTGAATTCGACTCAGCACCAAACTTGTTGATGAATTAAAAAAATATTGGTGAGGCTGCTTTAGAATTGGTTCACAGCTATTGCTGATAACCTCAAAAGCGAGCGTGGGAATAACTAAATGGGTGAATTACAAGAAGAAAAGAAAACATTTGACACATTTTAATCAAAAGAATTTCAATTTGGGCTCTTCCCAAAATAATCTTCTATTTCTGTAACAGAACGCGTAATTAATAAGACTTTATTTCTGAAAGCAGCTGGTCGCTTATCATCTTATGAATGAAGTGCTGATAGTAAATTGAAAGTCGATGGAATGAATCACTTAAATGCTTTCATGCCGTTAACTTAATGGAAAATTTAAAAGTAAGAATCATCTTCAAATAAAGGAAGAGAAAGGAAATATCGATATTTGCTATGAAAGAGACTTCTCTTTTGAGTTACTTGTTAAAAAATCTTGTTTAAGATTAAGATTAGACTAAGAATAATAATAGATTAGGATAAGTTTTAAGGTATTAATAAATTATACATTAAACTAACGAGAAAATAAAAAACATTTTCTGTTTTGTGAAATAACTGATTATTTTAAGGTAATTTTTATTAAGCAAGTAGCTTAAGTTGTATTCTAGGAAAGGAACGCATATTATTATATTGATTAAAATACCTGTATTGTATTTGTATTTGATTAATCTTTTAATCAATTTGAAAAACATGTTTATAGTTTGCTTAAAAAAAACTAATATATGAAATGATTCGAATTTTGAGTGGACACTTAATAAAAATTTGCAATTTTATCTATAAGTATGGGCAGATATCAATCCATTGTTTATATTGCGCAGAAGACATTTGCTTGAAGGGCTTCAAGTCAATAACCTAAACGATCGTACAATCATTTGTTTTTTTACCAACCTTGAGAGAGCCACGAGCCAAAACAAAGCACTACAAAAATTAATTTCAGCACATGAAAATCACTTAAATGCATTGTAAACGATAAGCAACCAAATATGAAAAGACCGTCGCTAACAGAATACTATAAATGGATATAAAAATTGATCAAACGCGTTTCTAATCGTCTTTTATCCAATTCGCAAAAATAATATTTTAATTAATTGGCAAAAACCGAAAGACGTCAGTCTGATAAGTTTATAGCTAAGATATAGTAGCAGCTAGTAACGTGAATTCCCGATTGAATAATTGCAGGTGCGATGCCCGACAAAGACCGACGCGAACTGAAAGCGTTACCTGGAAATTATTTGCATTTCGCCTTCCCATTGATAGACAACTTAAAACTACATACTCAAATGTGACGCAGGCTGACTGATAAGCGTTAAGTTAAGTGCCACAGTTTGAGCAGTTGAAATGCAGACAAAAGGATTACCAACGATTATTATAACGATTATCGTCATCGGTTCGGCGCATTGTCATCGTCAGCGTTGTCAGCATCGACATCGTCATCGTCATCGTCATCGTTGTCATCGTTATTGCCATCATCTGCATTTGTCAAGCACTTGAAGTGCATAATTTATGATTTACGTGTGTAAATCATTTGTGAAGCACCCGCAAGCAGAGTTTCGTGTTTGCCGTTGACAGATGCCCATCCCCATCCCCATCTTGCTCCATTCATTCCTGTCACTGTTTAGTTTTCAATTTGCTGGCGTTTCTAATTGCAGGCGTTAAAAATCGCTGGCAAATCGCGCTCAACAATATTAATGAAGCACTTAACTGCAGTTTATCGCTGCGGGCGTGTGTTCAAGTTTGTCATCCGCCTCCCCATTCAATTTACCGTTGTTCGAGTGGACCCGGCTTTTGAATGGGCTTTGTGACAGCCATTGAGGTTTATCGCTGCCTTCCATATGACATCTATCTGTGCGCAGCCAGAGAGAGAGAGAGAGATGGAGAGAGATAGAGAGAACAGGAGAGGGATAGAGATATAGAACCTGAAATTGGTAATGCACTCGTAGTGAACACTTCTGTATAGACATAAACGAAAGTTACCTCATTGGGAATTTTACTAATACACTTAGAAAAGAAATCGTTTTGAATTTTAGAAAAACGCCTTAGTTTTTGGCTACATGGCAACTCACCTAATTATTCAGAAAGTACATTTTGAAAAATAAGATTTTTACTTTTCTTAAATCCAGGGTACAGTTTTCTAAAGTGTAGAGAAAATATGCCTAATTTCCCGGGCATTGTATTTTATATGTCTACATAGAATTCTTATATTAGATTTATTTGTAATTTTACAATTCATATCGAGTTTTTTTTTAGTGTACTGTTTTCGTTAGTTGAGTGCCTGCTGATTTATAGAAATGTGTTGCTCAACTCTTAAAATATTTCAAATGCAGTTGCTTGAGCGTGAAAGTAATCTATAATGGGGTTAGTCATCAGCGAAGTTTTCAGTTCAATACCTCAATACTTATCTGACATTGACACTAAGGAACGTAAATAAAAGTGTTTTAATTGGGTTGAAGAGAATGCATTGACCTTTGCAAAATATCCATATATGAACTCTACAAGCCAGTTCCACAATTGTATTGATTATCGAAACAATATTATTTTCGGTCTCTGATAATAAATTGTCAAGCTTAAGATCGCAAAAATCTTTCGCCCAAGCAGATAAGCAACCAATCAAATATTTTATTTACTTTTTACAAATCATATCGATTATTATGCATTTTAGGCCGATTTTTTGAAAACACTTTCCGAATATTTTCATAAGTTTGCATTCATTAAAAATTGAAGTTACTGATTTAGTTTAGTTTATCTAAACATATTTTTAAGTTTAACTATCTAGCGATAGATAATAAAAAATGAATTAATAAATTAAATTATTTTAATAATACACATTAATTCAATCCATTTTGTTAATTTATATTCCGTTAACTCTCGATTGTTGGGAATAATTACACAAATTATTCAGCAATAGCAATTTTATATTACATTTTGATTATGTAATACTGATCTTCACTTGATTTATTTGTATTTATTTCATGCTTTTTGGCTTTTACTTTAATTTTATCAACAAGCTTATTTAAGAAAACACACACATGTTAATCAGTTTTATTCACAGGTTAAATTATTAATTTTATTTTATTATTTTATATTCTTTTCTTTCCGTGTTCAACAACAACAACATTAAAAATATCAACAACAGCAACCACACCAACACCCACAGAATGTGATCCAATTATAAAGTAATTCCAATTAAAAATGCAGGCGGTACATTGAAGAACCGTTAGACCCACACAAAAATGTGCACGGGCACAAAGCGGAATGTAAACAGCGAATGAATGAATGGAAGCGCCGGCCAAGAAGTAACGGTAAATTTTCACATGTGCCAAAATGACAATAGAAGGCTCCACGACAAAACGCAGCCGACGCCGCCGTCACAGTCGCAGTCGCAGTCGCAGCGCCCTAACAGTTGTGGATGCTGCCACGTTAACAGCGCTGTTAATAGCCATAACAGGGCTTTTTGCGCACCAAAGCAACAACGTAGCGACGTCAACGTCAACGTCGACGGCGCCGTCAGCGTTAACGTTAGCGATATCGCTCATAAACGTCATTCAATGGCTCTATCTGAAACTACAGCAATAAGGCGACTGCCTTGCTCTGTGCTCCTTTGTGTGTTTGTGTGTGTGAGTGTGTGTGTGTGTTTACTGAAGCGTTGCTAAATATGAAAACATAAAAATTAATGTTATATTTATAGTGTGGCAGCCAAAAAGTGTAGCATGAGGCGTTGCTGCGGTCGCTGCAGGGCAACCAAACCAGGCGTTGTATATAGTCTACACAGAGTGCCATAGGCGGGGGAGGGAAAAGGGGAGAGAGGGTTGCAAGATGTAGTTGATTCAAGTGCTGGTATTTGTTTTGCCCCGCTGCTGCTGTTTGCCATCGCTGGTGCTCTGCTTTTGGGGTGTGACACAAACCCAAAAGGGGTTGCGGCTTTGCCTTGCATGCATTTCAATAAGCAGCAAACCAAATATTTTCTACAATAAATCGCCCTAAATGTAACGCCAATTGTGCACAAAAAAGCAGGGCCAGCACCAGTACCAGCAACAGCAGCAACAACAACTGAAATAGTCCAAAGAAGTAAATTTGATGTGGTCCAGTGTGTTCAGCTAGATGATACCCTGTATACACACACACACACACACACACACACACAAGCATAGGCAGTGTGTATCACCCTTGCGAAAAGTAAACGTTTTCATTAAGTGAAATATGCTTTGCAGGTTTGCATTTCAACTCTTTGAAAATTCTTTCTATTATTAAGAAATACATTTTTTAGAAATAGAAAAGGTATTTATAGTTTTAAGAATTGTTCTTTTATAATTAATAATTATAGAGATAAACCACAAAAATAAAATTAGTATTATTTTACAAAATTTAAAGCGATTTTTTTAATTGTGCAAGTTATTCTCCAAAAAGATGAATCAATCTCGGTAATTATCAATTATGATCGAGCAAGTTAATAGTCAGCAAAAAGACTTCCTATATAATAAAACAACATTTTATAAAGACAGAGGAAGCCAATTGAAAAGTGCAAAAAATATATTAATTATATTATTTAACATAATTTTA